GCCCACTAAACCATGTCCCTAAGCGCCTCATCTACATGTCTTTTAAATGCTTCCAGGGATGATGACTCAACCACTTCCCTGGGCAGCCTGTTCCAAGGTTTAACCACTCTTTCAGTAAAGAAATTTTTCCTCACGTCCAATCTAAACCTCCCTTGGTGCAACTTGAGGCCATTTCCTCTTGTCCTATTGCTAGTTACTTGGGAGAAGAGACCAACCCCCACCTCGCTACAACCTCCTTTCAGGGGTTGTCAGGACATTTGACAGATTGCATGAACAGATCTGTGGCATCTCTGCTAGATTCCACGTATCAAGTCATTAGAAACTGGAAGTTTCAAGTATCCATTCATCCATTGCCACTGACCGCATCTGAGTACTGATTGAGGTCTCTATATGTAGAAATCATGCTCTACAGATAGGAAAATGGATAATCTGGGCTCGTGAGTCAGGATTAGACTCAGTGTAATTGGCAAATACAAGTCTTGGGTTATATTTTCAGTCAACCTGCATTTGACTGTAGCAGAGAAGAAAGGGAAAAATTGGCTTGAATGTTGCTCTGTGATCTCTGGTTTAAGGACTGACCTAAATTATGCCAGTTGATGGCTGAGTGCTCACATGATGCATTGCCCAGTTTTTCTCACCTGAGAAAACTCCCTTAAACTTCTCCCTTCTTCAGCCTTCTTTGTTAAGACAATACTCTGTTGTGGCTTTCGGTCAGCTTTCAAGCTGCTTTATACTGTCTGATCAATGCAAAGTAGCTGGAGCCAGGAAAAAATACTTGGCACTGAACATATACGTATTTGCCATACAAATATAACAATCCAACCTGTGGGGGTTTTTTTATGCACCAACTTCTGGATCAGGCCACTGAGTTTAGTGCTGTATTTGCCTGTGTCTAATCCTCAACTGTCTATGATTTCCCTCTGTAATAAAGCGGGAGATAGTCTAGATTCAGTGTCCTGTCTTATTGGACCAATGTTAGTCAAGGTACAAGAAGAAGTCTAGATCTCGTATGAAATCATAGGGCTAGCTGGTTGGGTTTTTTTTTTTTTATTCAGCTTTAGGTTCAGAAGTTTTTCAGATGCTGCATTGTTTCACTATGTTTTGTCTCTAGCTTAGTCTGAAAATGTTATGTCGACAGTGAGAATCTATTATGCAGGTTTTAAGAGGCAAAATATTGTTAAGCCAAAAAAATGTATACCACTTAATCATGCAGTGCTACAGTGCATTAATTCCAGAGATGGTAAAAAGGATGGTAGGGTATGCATTAGTTTACAATTAACCTGCTAGGGCCTTTCACTTCAGTAAACTTCAGGTGCCCATCCTCACTGCAGATGAGCTCTGTAAAGCTACCTCACAGTCCATGTATTTATATTGCTCTAATGATGCACATGTGCGAAACTGGAACTCAAATGTCATCTGCATTTTTTATCTAAAAAGATGAGAATAATGTGGCTGTTTACACTTTCTAATGACATACAGAGGTGATTCATGACTAAGATATCATGGCTTGAGAAGGAGAACACAGATCAAATGAACCTAATTGTCAGCCGATGTTGGAAGCAGTGGAATTTAATTGTGTTGAAAGTTGAGCATGCAGTTCTGTTCTTTCTGGATAGTCTAGGCCTCCTTCAAATTAACAGCTGAACTACTGGATTTCACTGGAGGAAGATTTAATCCTTTCATTTTTTTTCCCCCCTGACTTCAAAGGTATACTGAGCAAAAGGCTCCATGTGTAACTATGCTTAATCCTTTGTGCTGCTTTTTTCTCTTAAGATTTCTGAAGTTTTTGTCTAGCCTGATGTTACTTGCTTTTTGACCTAGGCTTTCTCTGAAGTTTGGTGATGTTGGCAATCTAAAGGGGCTTGTTATTAGGTAAGTTTATATGATAAAGAAAATACTAGATAATCACATGTTAATATCCATTGTTATGGATATTAACAATGCAGTTGCTTGTGCAATTTGTTTTAGGAAATTTTGTGTAAGCAAAAATAACGTGAAAGAACTGTTGGTTGTATAATCAAGACATCTGCATTTAATAGGTCTGTCATTTGCCTGCCTTGTTTTATTAAGGCATTTCTTCTTCTATGTTGACTTTTCTATTAATGAGAAAAGTTCAGGTCATCTCTTTTGCATAGAATCTTCCCATCTCTGAGATTTTTGCTAAAGCTTGCTAATTACCTATATTTTTGTCTGGGAATTTTGATGCAAGAACTGGTAGTATGGGCTGCTCAGGCATCAGACTGTAAACTACTTTATGTTTGCTTCTTCGTGATCAAAGAAAACAGCATTTCTTGATGAATAATTTTCTATATCTTGGGTAGAAGTACAATACCAATGTTGCATATAGATTTTTCTCAGTCATTTAGGAAAAATCCCTCACCTTTCCTCTCACTGTGTGGGAGAGCAGCAAACTCCTTCAGCTACAACAATAGAGAAACTCAAATCATTTTCCAGACTCAACAGAAGGAGCTAGAGCTCACACTGATATAAATGGATGAAACTCTGGTAATACCAGCGTGCCTTCTAAGATTGTTCAAGAGGTGAGTTTAATAGTTCCAGCTCTTATTTAGACTTGCTTTCTTATTAATCTTTTTTCTCATACAATATTTTCAGATTCTTATTAACAACCAGCTATTACCAGCTGTCTGTTCAGAACTGGTTCAGTTTACACAAACTGCAACTTCTTTACAACCACTCCATCCAAGCAACGTTTAACGCAACCAGAATATATGCACCGGCAAGTTACTCCTACCACTGTGAACATGTGAGCAGCTTGCAAAGATATGATGCACTCCTCATACCCAGCTCTGCAAATGATCTTTCAAAGCTTTGGGAAGTCACTTTTACTGATTTCCAGGTAATGTCATGGAATTGAGCCAAATGGATCCCCTAGGTAGACTGATGGGAAATTTTGCACTTAACTGCCAAGAAAGTATAATGACCTTCCATGTACAGTTTACAGGATCTCCATGGAACTTGAAATAGAAATGAAGACTTAAATTATTATACTTATCTTCCTGTCAAAGGAAATGAAAGTCTATATAGATTTTCTGTAGTCTCTTGCTTGGGTTTCCCTTTAGTATGTGGAGTGAATTTAACTTTCAGTGTTACAGCTCTCTGAACTGGGCTCTTAAAACAGGCATCAATAACAGCATCAGTCACCAAGTATGGGATTCATCTCACTTAACTTTTGATGCCTAGTAATTTTAACCTTGTGCCCTGATTATAGTCACCTCAGCCTGCCTCTAAAGCCAGTGGATAATTCCTCTGACGCATCTTAAGTCCTTATTTTAGGATGAGATTAATCATCTTCTGAAAGTGCCTATTTTTCTGCGTTTGGCAATAAGGGAGCCTAAGATAACTGGACTAGGATGTCTTGCTTTTAGATACCTGTCATAGGCATGAATAGCTGAAAAGGGGATTGAGGGGGAAAGCTGATCCCCCTTTTCTCACCATGTGATCAATGCCCACGGACTGATTTAGTGGAGCAGACAGTCAGTTCCCTGAATACCAATGTGGTAAACTTTGTGTTAGAACTGAAGCCACAAGTAAGACTTACTGGTATTGCCATAGTTGAATGCAACTTCATGTAGTTTAGCTGATTTGCTGTCATATACCGCACACTTGGATCTGGTGAGAAAAATCTAATATTAGGGTAGGCAACTGAGAGTATTTCCTTGTTTGTCACGTTGAAGTTTATGCAGTTTGAAACAGAGACTCTGGAGATTCTCAACAAATGATGCTGGAAATGCACCGTTAACTTGACAGGTACCACGCTTACAATTAAATATTACTGGGTTATCAAGACTGATCATAGATGATTTTGTTTAAAACACAACTGCAAATCCTTTGGGCAGCAGACTGAAGGGGATTAGAGTAACTGTCGGTTCTAGAAGACTGACCTGGATAAACTCAGAGCACTAACTCCAGCTAACACTGATACAATTTTGCAAGAAGCAGATACTGAATTAAAAATTCTTTCTGGCATCAGGAGCAAATTCATGAAGTTGGTTGTAACCAAGACAGCAAATACTGTATTTAATATGAGTCCTTTTGTTCTCTTTGTAGATTCAAGGTTTTAACATTCAAGAAGGACATTTTGCCTATGCAAAAGACTGTGCAACCTTTTTCTCTCCAGCAATACTTATGGGATTGGTTATGTCGCTGATTCTGCTGCTGGTTCTTGCCTATGCTCTTCATATGTTGATCCACCTGAAATCTCTTGACAGGCACTATGAATACAAAGCTTCTTCTGCCTATTTTGCACAGATGAAAGACAATGACATGGGGGATGAGAAAGAGCCGCTGAGAAGCAGTGGGAATGAGTCCGATGAACTTAGAAACCAACAGTTCTATAAGATCTATATTTAGCAGTATGCATCTGTCTCTCTGAAACAAGTGGTATTTTCTTCTGCTGGCACTGTTGTATGTAGTTTGTGCAGATTTTTCACCAACTGATGAAAAAAAAAGTAGGTAACAGACTGTTTAGCCAGTTACTGTCTGTTATTTATTGATAACCATCTCAAAGATGCCCTGGGAAACAAGATGAGAGAAAAAAATTCCATTGTGAGTAAGGGATTTCATGTGATGGGAGTTTATTCCTGTAGTACAAAACCAAAATGCGTATCTTTTCAGCCAGCTTACCAAGTCCTGAAGAGAGAATCAGTAATGGAGCCTTTGAAATGAAATAAAGATACAAAAAATTGCAAAATAATAATAAAAAAATCTCTTTGCTTATTCTTTCGGAAGGCAAGATTTTTCCTGGTTTTGTATTTCCTTCATCCACTCTGGTCTGTGTCCTGACAAAACAGCATCCATTCCTTTCTCAATATATGTTTTCCTTTTATTTTCCAAATTACATCCTCTCCTCTTTGTCCTCATAAACTCCTTTTCCTCCTTTGGAGTCTTCAGAGCCATATAAGCTGTATATTATCCACTACACTGAGGAAATAGTGATGGCTCCGGTGCAGCAGCATCTTGATAACTTTTCTCTGTCTAAGCTGGAGGCTTACTGTAAGGATCTAGTGGGAGAACAGTAGACATCTGGTCAAAAGCTTACCTTTAACTTCCCAGCTCAACTCCACACCAAAAGATGGATTGTGAGCATTATACCCTGTAATTCTAGGTTAATTTCTTTTCTATCAAATCCCATCAGTCTCCCTTGGGAGTTTTACCTGAATGGAGATAGCCAGTGCTATAATTGAAAATATATATAAACAAAGTGGTGGAAGCTCCCTAGCAGTGAAAAGGATACTGTGATATAGTTTTCACTCCTCTTTCTGAGCGTTTAAGATACTGTCTTCCCACTCATCCTTTATTCTGTTAGAGTCAAAGTTTGGGAACTCGAAATTAGCCTGTAATTTGGCCCTGACTTCTAGCAAGAAAAAATGCAGTAATGTACTAACTGTAGTGCTTTTAGGTCACAAGCAATACAAAACCCAGCATGTTAGAAAATCTTCTGCAAAACCAGATTTAGTAAACAATTTTTTTTTTGAGATAATAGATCTAATTAGTTGTTTGTGGTCTTTGTAAACTGTACTGCAGTGCTCCTCAAACACTTTGACAGGTTTCCAAAGACCTCCTGTTTATTAGCACAGATGACACAGAGACTAAATGTGGAGTCCAAAGTATTTAGTTGATTTAGGAAGGCAGTTAAGAGGAAAAAAAATACAATCTTTGAAGCATAACCAGACACAAGAGACAAGCTTCTGAGGACTTGGCAAGGCTGCCTGTGGCCAGTTACTGCCAAACTTTATCTTTTTCATGAAGGAAGCAAGCAAAAACATGGATGTCTGGGAACCTGAATGAGGTTAAAATGAGAAGGTGCAAATAAAAACCACAATATTCCATGTGGAGTGACAAAACACTCGCCGGCTTGGTCCCCTCTGCTTTAACACAGAGATGACAGATGTAGGCCGATGACAATGTTAGAAGGAGCTCAGAGTGCCAGTGCTAAATAGGTGATGTTCCTCAGAGTCTGGAAAGCAGTGCTGTTGTGCCTGGGGTTTGCTTCCCTGTCAGGCAATAAAAACCTGACTCTAATCACTGGTAGCCTGACTGTCAAAATTACCGTCATTCACTGATGTAAAACACCCACTCTGCAGAGCTGTGCATGGTGGCTTTGGGCATGGCAGTGCTCTCTAAATCTCATGTTCTCAGAGGCACAAGTGCGCTAGTTGCTCCCACAGAGCTCATTTAACCTTCTGGTTAGCATCTGATGACGCTCTCAGTATAATTCTTACCGATCATTTTCTTGCGAGTTTTAAATAGGCAATATTAGCACTGTTGCTGTAAGAGGTTCTTATGAGACTGATAAATCGGGAATAAGGGAGCTTCTCTCTAATCATGTGCCTCACTCCTCATGTCCTTCTAAACCTCCTTCCTCAGCTATTTTCCAACCCACCCGTGTACCCTCCACCTTATCTTGGTTTTGAGGGTGAGGTGATATCTGCTGGCTTTATGCTCGAGAGACTCAGCACTGCAAATCTCCAGCATGTGTCAGTGCAGAATTTTTGGTGCAGAATTAAAAGATGGCTGGGGCCCTTTCAGTAGGAATGCACTTGAACAAGAGAGGTTAATTTATACTCACTATTTACAAGGCAAACTTCACAAGAAAAAGAGAATGCAGATAAAAATTTAAAAATTCTCAAGAAAAAGAAAATTCCTCTCAGCTTTTTCTAAACCATGACACCCAGAATTTCTTGAGCGAATGAGTACAGCTAGTAGTTATCTTGTCTCTGCTGGGACTTTTCATGTTGCAGTCCTGCCTGGCAGTGGCAGATGATTTTACTCTGCCAGGTATGCTCAGCGTCATCACATTTCTACTCAGGTGCCAGCAAGAGTTAGAAAGGATAAATACACTAATTGAGTTAGACAGGAAATACAACGTTCAGTCATAGGACTGGAATTATGAGCCATATATTTGTAAAGAGTTAATGGATGCTTTAGTGGAAAAAGCACCGGAAGACAAAAAAAATCATCATCATTGCAGTTTCTCTCTCCTTGTGCCACATATAAAAGCAAGCACCCATGGTTGAAAAAGACAAAATGTGGATTTTTTGCATTCCCGGTAGGCTGTGTTTTCTGTGAGCCAAACAATCCTTATCAAATACATATTTTGGGACAACAGAGGCATTCCATTGCTCGGGTCCTGAAACAAGAAAATTCAAGTTAAAATGATTTGCTTGCTACAAAAATAAGCTACATTGGCATTAACAGACTCATTAATAAAATACAAGCTTTTTTACATGGTCCATATTCTGCATAATTTCATTGCTGCATGAGAACACAGCAGTCTTTTCAACATATATACGTTCATTCAAACAAAAGCCTGACAGCACCTTTTCAAAACTGATTTACTGTTTCAAATTCAGGGCCCCATCCACCCTCACTCAAAGTCAAAGAGAAGAGTCTAATTTCCTTTAACTGAAACAAGATAAATTTCACAGACTATGCAGCTCTCACTGTGCAACGATAACACTGAATTGAACAAATAAATACATTTGTTTCTCATACATTTCAGCTGCTGTAGTTAAAATTTTGTATAATTGCCCCTCACCCCAATATTAGGCAACTTCACATCTGCAGAAAAGTAGGTTTTCAGGCAGTACATTAAGTACTGTTGTTCAAAGTAAAGGGGTGGACTGTTGGTGTAGTATTAGTTACGAATGCACAAGGAATAATCAAAGCCAAGGTCACTGTGAAGACAGAGAAAAACCATGAGTCCACTAGCTGATAAGTAACACTGAATTCCACAAGCCAGAAGAAATAGATTTATTTCTTTCCTTCAAATTTTTAAAATAGTGTCATTTCCCTCCCCTCCTTTAAACATCGATTCTTGCTGTAGCAGCACTGGTATTTCTGGCAGATTTTTTTTTTTAATTGAGGACTTTCAAAAAGCTGGATGCAACCTTCAGTTTCAGAAACTGTCCCCAAGAGCACAGAAAGAAGGCCTGTTTGGGAAAATGGTAGCCTAGTACAAATTGCCACTTCAATCCTGAAAAGCTGTATCTAACCATGAGTAATCCTTAGCTGCTGTTGCTTCTTACTTAAAGGCACAGAAGATAGAGTCGGTGGAAGAACAATTCCCATGGGAGAATCTTCACTTGGCATCATCCTAAGAAGATCTTCCAATACCCAACACCAGGGCTTTGGGCTAGCATTCAGGTTACCGTTACGGGTAGCCTGCATTATATCTTCTCTTAGTAACTCAGGTAGTAGCAAATCAGCCTTCAGTTCTCTCCGTGACTTCCATAGCTCAGCTTACCCTCTGATGTTTGCATTTTTCAGGATGGGTCTGTTCTTCATCATTGCTTGAATACTGTTAAGGTTTTCTCCGTTTCCAGTAAGCCTTGTGACATGGCATTTAACTGAGGTATGACAGAACTCAAATCTGATTCAATGGTTCCTAGCTCACCCCTTAATTTGTTTGCTGTACCATTACAGGCCATATTTGATGTTACAGAACAAAGATCCAAAACTACCTTCAGAGCTGCGCAAACCCTGTTAACAGCCAGTCGTTTAATATGAATCATGTTCATTGTAAGAAACTTTTCATTAAAATTCAAAATTTGCCCCAGCTGAGGGAGCACATCAAGAGCTGTGACTTGCATGTAGCCACATTGGTTGGGATGCCATGCTGTGTGGTCTTCTAAGCTTGGTTTGCCTGCCGCAATATTCAAGAGAAGTGAACACAGACTGAACAGCCAATTTGGGATTCATCGTCAAGTCAGCAGGCGCACCATCCGAGAGGGCTCTGTTCCTGCCCTGGACCAGTGCTGCTCTCTGCCCGTCTGTCTGTGCAGGTAAAGCCTCATCGTGGAGTAGTTCTAAAATTAACACAAAGCATTTTATTAAGGAAGAATTTGCATCGCCTAAAAGAGAGTGAACAAAGTAACCTGCCTAAGGGATCTCGAACTTTACAGTAACAGTATATGCTGCAAATAATTCCAATAAACACGATTTTCTGTGTGTGTAGCATTTCCACAGGTAATATTGATGTATTTGCAGCTGCTTCTGAACAGGCAAGCAGCAGTAGAGAGACAGGAGAACAGCTATGCCAGTAATGAGCTTTTCTGGAAAGACGGCTGTCAACACAGGTTCAGGCTTTGCTGAAAACTCTTTTTTCATGACAATTGGTTCTTGGCCTCCATGGGAACTTACAATGAAAGCTAAGAAATAATGTTCCTGTCGTAGAATTTTAGATATGGGCTTAACCTCAGAGGAACACTCTGTTAATATCGAACCATTAATGAGATAGGAAATGGGAAGAAAGTGCTAAAACTTGTATATACATTTTTACACTTTTATTCCTTCAAGCTGATAGCTTATCATTTATCAGAAAATGTAATTTGTTTCTTCCGAGTCAGTGCTGCAAATTTGCTAGTGACTCATGTTATTTTTGACACCTAACAAAGAGA